ACAGATGAGATCAAGGACAGGCACCAAAACTACCTGGAGAAACCCTGTCTTGAAAAACCAACCAACCAACAAACAAACAAAAAAAACAAACTGAAGTACTAAATTAAAAAAAAAAAAAAAAAGCTTTAATGTGGGATTCACAAATAGGCTTTGAATCTCCAGAAACTAATGCTCACCTTATATACAAACACACATGTACAGCATTATGTTTTAAGGATCCAGCATGACTGCCCATAGCCACTTTGGTTTTAACTGCCATTTTGCCTACCAAGTGACCCTGGCATGCATTCCAAACCATATAAACCAAAGTTATTACATGTCAGATGTTGGTCTAGGCTCCTAACTGCACAGGCCTTGGCCTTGATCTCCAGCACTGTACCACTAAAAATACGGAAAAGGAAAAAGGTCAGCCTGGCGGTTTATATTGGCCACTAATAAGACATCTAGACTCTTAACCGACAATTTAGTGTCAGTAGTTTACAAGAAGGCCACACTTGTATAGCTTAGCATAAGTCCTATTCTCTGCGGTGCAGCTGCCAAAGGTGACTATTTTTCTGAACACTAGATATTTTTTCCCTTTAAATTGTGTTTTTAAACTAATTGGGTTGGGGATGTTGTCCAATGCTTGCCTAGTATAAACAAGGCCCTAGGTTTGATTCCAAGCATAATAAATGACCTAATTAAAGCCCAGATTATTAGATGTCTGTGACCTTAAAACATCTGAGGGAGTCAGGAAGATGGCTCAGCAAGTTAAGGACACTTGCCACCTAGTCTGATGACCTTAATTCAATCTCCAGATCCCACACTGTAGGAGGAAGAAATGACTGTTGTTAATTTGTCCTCCGATCCCAAGTGCAGTGGCATGCATGGAACAGTATAGACACATTTTTTTTTCCTCCATCTGTCCCTTAATCCTGTACTACATCATGGTATATATCCTCTAAAAGACTACTCCAAGAAAGCCAAACATGATGGTACAGACCTGAAATCCCAGCTCTGAGGAGCTGGAGACAAAAGAATTAGCTATCTAATGCCACCTAACCTAGGTGAGCTTGAGGCCAGAAAGACTAAACAAGATCCCTTCTCAAAAATAGGGAGAAAAAAAAAAAGACTATAGTCCCATAGTCTCAAAGAATAAAGCCTGCACTATAAGGGACTTTGACCAGATAATCAGTTTGTGTTTTGAGTCAAGAGCTCACTTTATAGCCCAGACTGGCCTCAAACTTGCAATGATCCTCCTGCCTCTACCTCCAGAGTGATGGGATCATAAGCATGTACCACCAAAGCTGAACTAGATGGCATGTTTCCTCCTGGTGCACCTACTCTTCTCATTTTGGGATATGGGATATATCAGAAGATGCAGACAGTGGCTGATAAGACCCACGTTTGCTTAAGGTCAAGGATTGAATGCTTACAACCAATATTAATGCCATGAAATAGTTTAGGTCCCTACTGGCAGGCCTCAAAGTTTACTGACCTGACACTGGAGATTTCTTAAGTCTTAGTGTCACAGAGCAGTGGTCCTCAACCTTCCTAATGCTGCGACCTTTAAATACAATGCCTCATGTTGTGTCCCACAACCATAAAATTATTTTGTAATTTCACTACTGAATTTTAATATAAAGATTTGTGTTTTCTGATGGTCTCAGGTGACCTGTGAAAGGGTTAACACTGGGTCTCAACCCACAGGTTGAGAACCATTGGTCCGAGAGCCTTAGTACCTCCTGTTTCTCCACGGCCGAGTCCCAGGCTTATGGACAGTAGTTTAACAAAATGGAGAGGTAGAGAACACATTCATCGTACATCGGAACTGGGGTAGGGCAAGGGATGCTACTGCTACCATGGGGGTGCAAAATCAAAATGAGAGAGCCAGGCAGTGAGTAATAAAGTACAAGCTTGTTTAAATCTACACTCTACCTTGTTTTCTTTATATATTTGTTTGTAGTAACCTTAAGAATGTTGCCAGATGTGGTGATGCATGCCTTTAATCCCAGCACTCCGGAGGCAAAGAGAGGCAGGCAGATCTCTGGATTTAGGCCTGCCTGGTACACACAGCAAGTTCCAAGCCAGCTAAGGATACACAGTGAGACCCTGTCTCATGCAAAACAAACTGAATGGGCTGGGGATGTAGTCCAATGCTTGCCTGATATAGACAAGCCCCTGGGTCTGACTCCAAGCACAATTAGCAAGCCAATTAACATCCAAATTATTAGATGCCAGTGACCTTAAAACATCTGTTGGATCCAGCAAGATGGCTCAGCAAGCTAAAGCACTTGCCATCTAGCCTGAGCAATCCAGATTACTTTAGTGGACTAATGGGTAAGCAAACCAGGGCCTATCTATTCTACAGAATACTAATAGTAAAAGAATAAACTATTGGCCTACCTAACTTGGATAGTTCAAATCACGATGCAAGTTAAAAATACTCAAAAAGTTGCAAATTATATATTTTTGTAACTCCCCAAGCCCCCAGACTCTACCTCTGGCTGTCCCAGAACATATTATGTAGACCAGTGTAAATGGATGGTTCCTGAATAACCACTCAGAGGCTTAATTATAAATGCTCAGCTGGTAGCTCAGGCTTATTAGTAACTAGCTCTTACTCTTAAATTAACCCATATTTCTCATCTATATTTTGCCATGCACTTCGTGGCTTGTTACCTCATTTTCTACACATCTTGCTTCCTCGGCAGCTAGCTGGTGGCTGCCCGACTCTGCAGCGCTCTTCCCTTCCTTAGTTTGGTTGTCTTACTCATACTTCTTAGTAACAACGAGAGCAACACACATTCACAGCATACAGAAGGACATCCCACAGACCAGGACGGCCTTGAACTCAGAAATCCTCCTGCCTCTGCCTCCTGAATGCTGGGATTAAAGGTAGGTACCACTATGCCCAATTATTATTGAAAATGACAATATTATAGAAAGGAGAGCACATTAGTGGTTTTCTGCTGTTAAGGTTATGGGGCCAAACAGTGGTGGCTCACACCTTTAATCCCAGCACTAGGCCAGCCTGGTCTACAAAGTGAGTTCTAGGGCAGCCAGGGCTATTCAGAGAAACCCTATCTCGGGAAAAAAAAAAAAATCAAGAAAACAAACAAGGTTATCAGGGAGGGAGGAAAAGTGTGAGTGAAAAGGGGTATGAAGAATCCTTGTGGTGATAAAACTCTCCTACAGAAGTCTTGACTGTAACAGAATCAGTATCTTGGTTCTGATTCTAGTTGCTAATACCAAAGACTGTACTGTACCACTGGATGAAACTGGGTAAATTATACACAGGATCTTGTATTATGTCTAATGCTGCATATGCATCAACAATTGTCTTTAAAGTCTTCATTTTGAAGATTAAACTGTTCTCAAGGTTGAATTAGCCAGGAGACAGGAGAGAAAGACTTTCTGAATAGAAAGACAAACTGAAATTGGGTCAGCAAAACTTGAATGCAAGATGTGTGTTAGCCTGAGGAATGAGTGGTCAGCCAAGGCCGATTTTAAAGAGATACTGTTTAAGAACTGGGTACAGTGGTTCACCCCTGCAATCCCAGAAAGGTCACCATGAGTTTTAGACAGGCCTGCTTTACTTACGCTAACAGGGCTCCATGGTGAGATCTCTGAACAAACAAAAAAGAGACATTGAGGTAACTTCAACCTTTTATATCCAGAATTAACAGATTGCCAAATTAATTTGTTTTCTTTAAAAACACAGTTGTTTTTTTTTTAAATTTAAGAATATATAAACAGCTGGGTAGTGGTGGTGCACGGCTTTAATCCCAGCACTTGGGAGGCAGAGGCAGGCAGACTTCTGTGAGTTTGAGGCCAGGCTGGGCTACAGTGTGAGTTCCAGGAAAGGCTCCAAAGCCACACAGAGAAACCCTGTCTCAAAAAACAAAAAACAAAACAAAACAAAAGAAAAGAATACATAAACAGAGGCCAGATGTTGTGACACACACCTTTGATTACAGCACTTAAGAGGCAGGGTCAGGCATTTCTCTGTAAAATCAAAACCAGCCAGGGCTATGTATTGAGACCCTGTCTTAAAAAGAAAAAAAAAAACAATCCAGGGCTGGCAAGATGGCATATATACATAAGGGCTGCCAAGCATGATGACCTGAGTTCAATCCCTGGAACTCACATGGTAGAAAGACAGAACCAATTCCTGAAAGTTTTCCTCTGACCTCTGGGAACACTATGGTATAAAAAAAGTATAACTAAACAAGGTCTAGGGATATAGCTCGCTCAGGTGTCAGCGTGCTTGCCTAATGTGCAGAAAGGCCCCGAGTTCAATCCCCAGCAAACCACAAACTAGACATGGTGTCCATGCTTGTAATCATAACACTTAGACAATAAAGGCAGGAAGAAAAGCAGCCAGTGCTCTTAACCACTGATCCATCTCTTCAGTCCCTGGTCTCTCCTGTGCTCACACTGGACCTAGGCTTTCTGGGTTCAGGTGATGGGTGATGTTCACAGCCTAAGTTGATCACGTACAAATGTGTAAAAACATCACATTCTACCCTATAAAAATGAGAAAGGAAAAATTCCCCTCCTGTAGTTCATCATTAATACTGAGTTGAGCTGCAGCATAAAAAAAAAATGTATAGCCAAAATTAGCGCTGAGTAAATAAATTACAATAAAGTGGATATTATTTTGGACACAGATCTATAAAGGAATTTGTATGTACAAAAACAAATGTATACAATGTATGGAATATTATAAAGAGTAAAATATTAATATGCAATGGTTTTTTTGTTTGTTTGTTTGTTTGTTTTTGTTTTTTCAAGACAGGGTTTCTCTGTGTAGCTTTGTGCCTTTCCTGGAACTCACTTTGGAGACCAGGCTGGCCTCGAACTCACAGAGATCCACCTGCCTCTGCCTCCCAAGTGCTGGGATTAAAGGTGTGCGCCATCACCGCCCGGCACAACATGTTTTAAAAGCTACTGTGACTGTGGTCTTTGAAGAGTTGTAAATTTTAAAGTAAACAAAGAAATAAACATAACAACTTAAATTTTAGATACACTATTTTTATTCCAAAGAATAAACTCTGAACAAACTCCAGATCACAAACTTGAGAGAAGCCTCTGAGCTTCTGCACGGCCTGAGGTAGGCATCTGCACAGCCGTGGGCGGGCCCCGGGAACAGTCCGCTGTCCTGTGGACCACTGAGGGTGGCAGGCGGCCGAACCCCTGTTCTAGGGAGCTGTTAACCTGCGTTTCCCTTCTCATTCCCAGAGAGCTGCTCAGATTGTTGTCTGTTCTGGGCTTACACCATCTCTTCTGTGACTATGTTTTGTTTAAAAAGCCAAATTGCTGCTTTTCATGACCTCTGAGCACAGACGTATCACTGTGATGTTTAAAACACTGATTGACTGCACTTGCTTAAAAACTTCCAATTGATTTTGCATGGATCTTTAATGATCAGTAAAGAGGAGGGAGTGGGAGGTAGAAGATTCTGAGATATCAGTATGTTCCCTTTTGGTTTAGGAAAACGTCAGTCACACAGTGGTTTTGTACAGCACACCCCTTCCCAGGTATTAGCAGTAACTCCAAATATTACAGAACTGACATCTGGAACAGAACGCCAGTAAATAAAATCATTTCAGAAAATCACACTGTCGGTAGCCCACACTGAATTTTGAAAAGGTGTTTTAAAAGGAAAAAAAATGTTTTCCAGTCTGGTAACAAGCTCCTACTATTCAACAGCTTTCCAAGTTAGTGATGAGTGGCCAATTTCTATGGTGTGTGCCACTCGTACTTGATTTGGAAGTATACACTCAAGATTGATGAAGCCGTTGATGAATTTCCCTTCTTGAGCTTTCTGCTCAGAAGCACCAAAACTGTTCCAGTGAAGGAATAATTATGAAAACCTGACTTCCAAAGAATTCCAGCTTCTCAAACTAGCTTTTGTGTCTATCTAAATATCACTAGTTCCATTATACGTTAGGAAATAAAACAAAAATTTTTCATCCACAGGATGAAGATTTCTTCTCTGAAACAGGAAGCTGATGACATTCTACCTTGCTTAGAAAATTCCCTATGGATAAGAGGAAAAATTATGAGAAATTGCATTGATCATGTTATATCTAAGTGTTGTTTTTTGGTATTTTGTTTCTAATGGCAGACAACAGCTCTCTTGAGTCTAAATTGGGAAACAAATTGACATTTCATTCAGAATCTCATTATTTGGTAGCTAATTTGATTAATTTGGGAATGTGACAGATTTTAGCTTTATGTCCTGTTCCTAAATACACACACTGATGCTGACTACGATGACAATGATAATTTCAGATGACAAAGGATCTCTGGGCATCATCTTACACGCTCCTGTTGGCTGCTCTCCGGTAAGCAGTGTCAGCTGGAATGAGGATCTCACGCTTAAGAGAACCACAGGCCTTACATTCTGTGTCAGGACTATCAGAAAACAAGTGAACCTCACCATATAGTCATCTCCTACACATTTCCTCATTCTGCCCAAGACATGATGAATCTGAGCCAAATATTGTCACCTACAAGATAGTATTTGCATTTTCAGGGCAACAGACAACTAATCAAATGTCTTCATTCTGCGGCAAGAGTTAACTCATACTTTGTAAAATATAAATACTGTTCTTACTACCTCCCCAAAGCCCCTAACACCAACAGAAGTGAAGATCCTGTTTCCTCAAAAACGTGTCAAACTACTGTGTTTGCAATATTACTTAAGTTCCTAAAACAAAATAAGTTCCCTTTACAAGCTGCTTTCATGTTTTCTCTTTAATTGCTTTTATTTACTTTGTGTGTGTGCACACACATGGGCCACAGTGCACATGTGAAGGTCAGAGGACAACTTATAGAATCTGTTCTCTCCTTCCACTATGTGAGACCCAGGGTTCGGACCTGAGTTGTCAAGCTTAACAGCAAGCACCTTTACCCACAGCCTTGCTTTTGGTTTGAGCAGGACCTTACTCTAAAGCTCAAGTTGACCTGGAACTCATTATAGAGCCCAGGCAGACCTTGAACTTGGGCAGTCTCCTACCTCAGCTTCCTGAGTGCAGAAATTACAAGTACAAAGCCATCACAACTGGCTACAAGTTACTTTAATAGTTGTTTCTATAAAAAGGCCAACTCTTGGTTAAATGTCACAACTGAATGTCAAAAGTGTCTCCAGCAGATGCACGTTTTTTTTCACTTTGTTAATTATCCATAGACTGAAATACAGTCAAATCAGGAAGTTGAGGTTCCTTTCCTTTTCAGCTGATCACAAGGAATCAGACACAACTGAAAAGGCAGAGCTGCTCCAGGTCCACAAAGCTTAGGAAACACGAGACACTGGCTTTCCCTAGTGTCATACAATATCTGACGTTAACAAAAACAAAGTTCTCTGTTATTGTATGGGTACCCACTGAGGAGGAGGATTTGTACATTTAGCAACATTAAACTATGTATCTAATTAAGCTAAGTAATTTGGAGAAAAAGAAAACAACAAAGTATCCTTTTTCAATTGGTTCCATATTTTTTACAGACACAAAGAATTGAGATAAAGCTGTAGATGACTATAATCTCATCTTAACATTAGAACCTGTATTATGTAAAAATTCCAGTTGTATACTGTTAGGCATTTGTCAAATGATAACCAAAAGCTTTAAGCTTGTAAAATAATAGTTGGGTGATTGATACTGCCATGGATCCTTTTGTTGGATTTTTTATATAAGCTCGGATATTCTAGTAAACTAATTTTTCTCATCTAGCTAGTCTTTGGGTTATCACTTCTCTGTACATAATAGAGATGTAGATAAGCAACAAAAAGATAACAAAGAAGTCATCTAGAAAGCCCAGAATTCCAAACAAGGCTTCAGGTACAAAATCTAGAGGCGATATTAGATAGAAAAAAGCTCCCATTAAACAAAGCATTATCCTAATTCGGAACATCCAGAAGAGACCCCCAACTGAAAACACTTCCCTGAATGCATGTCTCAGCAAGGTGGGGAGATCCATGATTCTTTCCATAATCTGAAGGAGGAAAAACAAGTACTACGATTTAACATCTAATATATCAAATTAAAAAGTAATAAAATTTTGTACAATGTATTCAGCTAAGATGAATTAAGATATTTCACACACTTAATACCAGATTTTCCAATTATGCATTTTACTTAAAAATAGTTTAGTTAGTAGATTCTTATAAAACACGTTTTATTATAGACAACTAAAAAATAATAAAGTACCAAAGTGCTTAAAATGTGTGATAGATTGAGTACACGCTATCTGAAAGTCTGATACTTTATATGCTACATAATTTTGACGTGTTCTGAAAGATAAAAGGCTCTAAAGTCTAAAACTGGAGCCAAAATGTTTTGGATTTCAGAATGTCAAATTTATGATTTTACGATTTTCAGATTTGGGAGGCTCTATTTGTAAAAATCCATGCAAATACTCTGAATCTGAAAACTCAGATAAGTGGTTCTAAGTCTAAAGTCATGCAAAACTCAAGTTATCAATAATCTGACTTAACAAAATGAACCAAGAAACCATAGGCCAGGAATGGTAGTTCACACTGTAATTCCCAGCATCAAGAGATGGGAAAGCAGGAGAATCAACAATAGCTCAAAGACCAGACTAGGCTGCAGACCTTGTCTCAAAAAAAAAAAAAAATTATTATATAGGCTTATAGTCTGAGATTTGTTCCCAAGTGCCAGACATACTATCAAGATATATCTGGGCTAGATTCAAAAGCAATCAATTATCAGATGAGGTGACCTTGGGTTACAACTTTCTAACACACTAGAGATAATTGAGCAATAATTGAGTATTTAATTCCAGAAGAATTACTAAAGATGTTGTACAGAAAAGGCCTTTGTAATAATAAGTAAGTAATAAAAGGCCTGACTATACACAGTTCTGTAACACTGGGGATTGAACCCAGGGCCTTGGTAGGCCTTTGTAATAATAAGTAAGTAATAAAAGGCCTGACTATACACAGTTCTGTAACACTGGGGATTGAACCCAGGACCTCGGTAAGCAAGTGTTCTACTCTGAGTTACATCCCTAGATCTCTTTTTAACTTTTTATTCAGAGAGCATCTCATCAAGTTGCTAAGGCTCACCTTGACTTTGTGATCCTCCTGCCTCAGCCTCCCAAATACCTGGGATTACGCATCTGCTCCACAAGGCCTGGGTAAGTACTTTACATTAAGAACACACTAAGGTGTGTGTGCACACTTATGCAGAGCAGAGGTGTCCCTAGAGGATATGTGTAGAACAAATAAAATAACGTGGGGCTGGAGAGACGACTCAGAGGTTAGGAGCACTTGTCATCATTGTAGAAGACCTAGGTTCAGTTTCCAACACCCGCACTCACAATCACCATTCCAGTTCCAGGGTCCTAATGTCCTCTTAGGCCTCCACGGACACCTACATGCATGTGGTGCACACACACAAACACATGCAAGCATGCATACATATACAAAAAGAAAACTTTTTAATGCTAGGTCAAAACCAGGAAAGGACTGAGCATGGTGGCACATTCTTTTAATCCCAGTACTTGAGAGGCAGAAGCAAGTAGACCTGTGTGATTTCAAGGCCAGACTAGATATATATCAAATTCCAGACATAGTGAGGCTCTGTCTCAAAAATAAAAAACTCTAACTCAGGGACTAATGATGATGGTTCAAACTTGGTCCAAAACGCATAAGACATTGTATCGTCCAAGAGCGGTTGTAAATCTGATTTTACGAAACGAAGCATAAAGGCTCTCTGACTTGGCACCTGCTATTCCATTACTTACAGATCTAGGCTGCCCTGAGAATCTCCGGTTATAATCATTAACATCTTGACGCAATCTTACAACATCCTGAGATTGATCGTCTTCACCAAATACTGTTAGGAGTAGAGTTACCTGCGTATTACAGGAAAAAAGCTGTTACACCTGCTGCCCCATTATTATTACTTTTTCATTTTGTGAAAAGCTTCTGAATGTGCATTTCATTCATTCCTTTGAATAAAGGCAACATGGGGGAACAAGTAAATAATCACTGCCTTACCGTAAAATGTAATACAAAATGTAAATTTTAATTCCTCCAAGATAAAAATGAGTTCCACATCTAAACACTTACTCTAATATTAATTTTCCCACCCATATCAGGGGCTAAAACTCATAGTTCTCTGGAAAACATACACTTGGAGATAAAAGGGTGGTAGGAAAACCTTCAATAACAAAGTTAAAAATATTAAAAAAAAATAAAAATATAAACCTATCATTTTCAGAGAAAAGATTAAGCATTTCTGAATGACTGACTCATTTTTACTCACATTCGACATATTTTTGAGTGCTCTTATAATACAGAAATTACAGTACTGTATGGCCTGACTCTAAAACACCAATTCCTTTTGTAATAAGCAGATATAAGTGTTGGTACTACCACTAACAAAGATTAGTTTTGCTACTTTCATGGCCATGGTAAAGACAGCAGACTGTTGCCTCAGGACAATACAGGGACCTTGAAAAGTAAGTATAGTTAAGAACATAACAATATGTAAAGAATAATCGCTGAAATATAATGAGATAAAATGGAAGGGACTCAAAACAGGTTTAGTGGGCTAGAGAGATGGCTCATTGAGTAAGAGCTGGCTACTCTTCCAGAGGTCCTGAGTTCAATTCCCAGCAACTACATGGTGGCTTACAACCATCTATGATGGGATCCAATGCCCTCTTCTGATTTACAAGATGTACATGTAGACAGTGCACTCATATACATAGTATATAAAGAAATAAATCTTTTTTTAAAAAAAAAAAAGAATAAGCTTAGTTTTGAATCATTCTAGATGTTTTTATCCTTACTCAGGTTAAGAAAACCACTGATGGGATATTTTCCAAACAGTTAAATGAAGGAGTGAGCGAATGTTATCAACAGCAGACACAGTCATCCATTTCTTCATGGATTTGTTAGTAAAAATGTAGTCTCTGCTATAAAGCAATAAGTTTAAGTCTCTAGCATGATTAACCCCTAAATGTCAAGATATTTTAACCCTTAAAAATCAAATCTTTAGGGCTGGAGGGATGGCTCAGAGGTTAAGAGCACTGACTGCTCTTCCAGAAGTCCTGAGTTCAATTCCCAGCAACCACATGGTGGCTCACAACCATCTGTAATGAGATCTGGCGCCCTCTTCTGTATACATAATAAGTAAATACATCTTTTAAAAAAAAAATCAAATCTTTAGAGATTTAACCCTCATGGTGTTTTCCTTCTTGCAACTGTTCTTTTCTAAAAGCCCGAATTGTTTTTTTAAAAAAAAATGCAGTCTTGTCAGGAGTGGTAGCACATGCTTTATATCCCAGCACTAGGGAGGCAGAGGCAGGCAGATCTCTGTGAGTTCAAGGCCATCCTGATCTACATAGTGAGTTCTAGGACAGCCAGGGCTGCATAGTGAGACCCTGTCTCAAAATGAGTGAATGAATGTAGTCCTTCAGTAAATATTAACTGAGCACCTCCTGTGAGCTAGGCACTGTGTTAGTGCTATGCACGCATGGGAAAAGAGAGGACATAGCTTCACCATGAATGACTTCAACATTTACAAGAGAATCAGGGAGGCCAGCCTGTTACACCGCCTGTTATGTGGTATTGCGGGTGGTTTTACAACAAAAATAAACTTTCCCCTGGGATGTCCAGTAAACCTGAGGAGTAAGGAAGCGTTTTCAAGTTCACGGACAGAGAGGAGCGATAGGTGGACTCTAGTCGGGGACAGGAGCCTGCACCTCATTTCCGCAGCCTTTTGTCTGGTGAAACAAGAGGCACGGCAGCACTTCCTGTCGTGCCTGCAGGTGGAAGGACTAGGGTTACGGAAGCAATGGCTATCCGACAAGACAGCGTCATCGCCTTACTCGTCCCTCCTCGGTGTTCAGTGCAGCATGCCCACGCCCTAGGAAGGCCATGGATGGGTGAAGTCAAAAAGAGGGGCAGAACCGTGTGTGGCGCTTTGAATAGGCATGCCTCTCACAGACTCAGACATTTCCACGCTTGGCCATCAGAGTGGCACGACTTGACAGGGGTTGGGGGTGTGGCCTTGTTAGAGGAAGTGTGTCACTGAAGGTGGGCTTTGGGGTTTTAAATGTTCAAGCCAGGCCCAGTGTCTCTCTTTCCGGCTGCCTTCGAATCTGGATGTAGCACTCTCAGCTACCTCTCCAGCACCATGTCTACCTGCGTACTACCTACAATGCTTCCTGCCATGATGACAAACCTCTCAACTGTAAGTCCCAATTAACTGCTGTCCTTTACAAGAGTGGCCGTGGTCATAGTGTCTCTTCACAGCAACAGAACACTGGCTAAGACATGGTGGAACTCAGTTCAAGATATACTATCTGGCCTCCATGTTTCTGGCAAAAGGTAAGAGCTACTGGCAGTTAGCTTATGGCAAACTGATTGCCTATGTCACACATCAAATTAGCCACAGAAACAATGTGAGGGGGGGAAAATCAACTTTACTTCTAGCCATGTGAGAAAAAGGAAAAAGTGAATGAGGTCAAGTTTGTGACTACAGAAATAAAAAGGAAACAAGAAAATCTGGCTCTCCTGCTCTAACAGTAATGGGAAAATGATAGCTAGAACAAAGGATACGCACATTGTAAGAATACCTGTGTAGTTTCGCTACTAAAGTTCAAAGAAAATGGCACACGTATTTAAATATTTTTGAAAGGAAGAACATATTTTTCCAAAAGAGAAGAGTATGCAGGAGATAACATGCTGCCATGTGATTATCTGGTTCATTTATTCCTTCGCTGGTCATACAACAAAGGCTTAGGAATTGGGACAAACTCATTTATCACTTGCTTTTCACTAAAACTATAGGATTTCAAATATAATTCCTTTCTTTATGATACCATAATGATTTTTAATGTATTTTTTAAAAAATTAGTGAAGTCACAGACACAGTTAGTAAAAATGTAGTTTGGCTGAAAATGTAGCTCAATTTAAATTTTAAAACTGCTAATATTGGGCAGTGGTTAAGAAAGCTTAGCTCCTGCAGATGGGTTCAGTTCTCAACACCAATATGGCAGCTCATAGTCACTATAACTTCAGTTTGAGAGGACCCAATACCTTCTTCTGACCTCTGTGGGCTCTTGAACACACAGGCTGCACATATAGACACTCAGGCACATACACATAAAACACTTTAAAACAAAACACCTGCTAATATTTATGAAATGAATAACATAAGTGACGCTTTATATAGAAGAACACTACCGTTTGTCTACAGATTGGACAACTGATCGCACCGAGCCAGGACCCATAGCGCCAGTATGCAATGATGCAGGAACCTAGTGGAATAAGAAAATATCAACATTGAAGCTTCCAAGTCCATACAGGCTGGTCAAGTTTCAACTACTTAACAGCATTACCTTCCTTAAAACACTGTTTTAGTACATTGTTCATCTATATTGTTTATTAAATATTCCTAGAAGACATTTTTATTTCATCCAACCAAATCTTCAGGTAAATTAAAATCTGGCAATCATTTCCAACTATTAAAAAACATTTTTATTTCAGCTACTAATTAAGCAACAGACATTTTTATACAATAAAAAGCAAATATTAACCCCCTCAGTTACTGAGGCCTCATAGAAAATAGTTTCCTATGTAGAATAATCATGGTATTACATATGATAAACTGTCAGATACTTTTTGTTCCAAATTTGATGTAGCTGAAAAATACTTTTTTTTAGGAGTTCACTGAACCAGCAGGGTTTTGTGACACATACCTATAATCCCAGTACTTGGGAAAGCACAGACAGCTGATCTCAAGTTAGAGGCCACACTGGGTTACCCAGTGAAACCTTGTCTCAACAATAACAAGGGTTTAGAAAGACAAATTAAGTGAGATGTGGTAGCTATAATCCCTTCACTTACAAGGTTGAGGTGAGAGGGTCCGGAGTTTAAGATCAAGTTCAACTACACAGCAAGTTCAAGACCAGCCTAGGCTACATGAAACCTTTCCTTTCTGCCACTCCAAAAAGTGAGAACCAAATCACTGAAATACTAGGCTTCCTTGATAAAATGTATATCCTAGTTCAATATCTGAAGTACTTGCTGTACTAGGTGATATTCATGAGGAGGGGGAGATGGCTTCATCAATCAAGTCTTTGCTGTACAAACATGAAGACCTCAGTGACCTCCCAAGAGCCAAGGTAAAATATTTGGACATTGTAGCATACACATGGGATCCCAGTACTGGGGAGGCAACGACAGGTGGATCCCTGGGGTTCACTGGCCAACCAGCCTAGCCTACCTAGTAAGCTCCATGACAGTAAGAGGACCAGCTCTCACCTCAAAAAAGAGAAAAGGTCAGGTCTGGGGAGGTGGCTGAGTGTGTAAAGTCAGAATAAGTATGAGAACTCTGATGCTAGTACTCACGTTCATTTTTGTATTACTGTTTAAATCCAGGTTCTGTAGTTTGTGCCTGAGATGCCAAAGCAGAAAAGGTGGCCATATGAACATTCCTGAGCCTTGCTGGCCAGGCAGCCTAGCCAAATGAGCATGCTCCAGGTTGAGTGAGAGTCTCTATCTCAAGAATAAGGTAGAGAGTGACTGAGGAAGACACCACCACATGCATGCACACCCAGCCACCTCCACACCCCCACACACAAACCAAAAAGAAGACAGTATCCTGAGGACCAACACCTGAGGTTAACATGGGCCTCCACAAGCACCCCCACACATGTATACTCATATGAACACACACACACACACACACACACACACACACACACACACACACACACTCACACATTCATGGACAACAAAACAACCAAAGATAGCAACCTGCCTCAAAGAAGACCTCAAAAGTGGGTAAGGGCACTCAGTAAATAAACACTTAACTTCAACCCAGTCACATGAAGATTTTTACTGTCTGGTGCTTTTAAAGGGCCAAACAGAAGGCTTCATGTATGCTAGGCAAGTCCTCTACTAACTGAGCTACATTCCCAGCCCATGGTCCTTACTCTGACCTCTCTAAGTCAGAATTTAGAAGAAGCAACAGCAATCCAATTGTGGAAACAAAGTGGCATACTCAAATCAGAAGACAGCTCGTCTTCAACTGTGCAATGTGAAGTGAAAAGGACTGGATCTGTACAGAGCAACCTGGGTCCAGCACGTGTGTTCTTTATACACAAGAGTTAGAGCAGAGAGGAAGGTTGTGAGAACACTGGTGAGTCACCACTCGCATTAGCAGAAGCTGACCAAGTTAGGGAACAGCCAATTTACCAACTTCAAGAGGAATTTAAAAGCTCAACTATCATCTCACGCCTATACCTTCATGGAGCTCTGTGTTAATTACAGAGTGTATTAAGTACATTGGGCATTCTAATTTCACACAAAACCTGTAGGAAAGCAAAACTTGGGGCTATACAGATAGCTCAGTTGCTGAAGGGCTTGTCCCCAGCGTCCATGGGAAACAAAGGAAGACCAGGAAGTTAGGGAGCTGCATTAATCCCCAAGTTTGGCTCTGCAGCGTCAACATAAAAACCAGGTACAGTGGCCAGGTTTGTAACCCCAGCATAAGAGAGACAGATCATCGGGGCTTGATGGCCAGCTAGTCTAACCTAATCTCTACACTCCGGGTTGGGGGAGGGACTGTATAAACTAAGATAAGCCAGATGTGGAAGCACAGACCTTTAATCTTAGCACACTAGGGTGGCCGAGGAAAGTGGATCTCTATGAATTTGAAGCCAGACTGGTCTACAAAGTGAGTTCCAGGAGAGTCAAAGCTACATTAACAGAGAGACCCTGTCTCAAACAACAAACAACAAACAACAACAAAAAACAAGATTGGCAACAATACCAGCACCAATCTCTGACCTCAACACATACATGTGTGAGTATGTGTATACACACACACAGATGTCTGTGTACACAAACACATGAACCTGTACACATACAAATATGTACACAGGTGCATATATACACAAAAAGAAAACAAAAATTAATCTATTAGTGGTATTATTTTCATCTGATACCATGTTTTAGCTTTATCTATGACCTTTTCACCCCAGAATTCAACGTACTTTGACAGACATTACACGCATTTAATCTCGAGTATCTTTTCCTGAAGCTAGGGTGTGGGTGTCCTTATTTTGCCAATTATGTAACACCATTTGGCTTCACTGAAGAACTATGAGTCAGCAGATTAAATGCTTCAGTTCATCTATTAGATGCTTGATGTTTTTTTATTCACATTTCTCTCTCCACAGAAAAAGATACTTAAGTATCATCGGGTGCAAGAAATGATTGAACTGTCATCTGGGTCACAATCTCTCTGAATCTACTTAACTGCAAAATGAGAACAAAATCTCAGAGGCCTGACAGAGTTAAATAATGTAGATTATAGATGCCAATAAGATGATTCTGTTGCTATTGCTATTCTAACTTACTGCAATGGAGCAGAGGTGTTCTGCTACATAATAGAATCACTGACCTTAGAGCTCTGGACACATGTGGTATTAACATACTTGAACTACTGTCCAAAGAATTTTGAGAAATTGCATAACAAGTTTTTTTACTTTTGAATTTACTAAATAAATGTGTGTAACATGGCTCAGCTGGAGGAGTGGTAGCTTGGCATGCACAAGGCCTCTTGGGTTATCAATCCCCCTCAGCACAGAAACTAGGCATGGTAGTGCATGCCTGAAATCTCAGCACCTGGGAGGTAATGCAGATTAGAAGTTTAAGGTCATCCTGGGCTACACAGCACATTTGAGGCCAATCTAGGATCCATGAGACCCATCTCAAAAGAAAACGTACCTAACAAGTAGAGCAGGATATCGGAAGCAATCTACCCTATTACCTCAGACCCAGAGGTAAAAGCAAGAACACAATACAGCCATCTTTCAATTGCCAGGATTATCCACTCAGTGAATCGGCTACGCCTGAGTTGGCAAATAAGTTCATTTTGCCTGCCAAGCCTCACAGACTGCTAACACCTGCTGGGAAGGTGATCAAGGTCCTGTCTAGATTCAGAAGGCAGGTCAGGTGGATCAGGAATACCTACCACAGGCCTGAGAGCAGCAAGCTGTCTCTCCTGATGGCCATGAGCTTCCCTCCCCCAGCTGATCCTTCTTATCCTGCTACTCTTCAGCATTCCCAAGACAGTTAAAAGACTGACACCGGGCTGGGCAGATGCGACAGTCAACAGAGCACTTGCTCTCTAAGCTTGGGGACCTGCGTTCAGACCCCTAGAACCCATGCAAGGCTGGATGCAGTGGCACATGTCTGTAATCTCGGTGCTCTAGAGATGGGATGTGGAGACGGGAGAACAGGCAGAAGCTTGTAGGCCAGCTAGCTTGGCATCTGCAGAAGTGAACAAGAAACCCTCTCTCAAGGTAGAAAAGCAAGGACTTATCAGGATTGTCCTTTAACGTCTTTACACACACCAGGATACCTGAACTGATGCACACAAACACAGAAAGTCTTAAACCCAAACAAAGAAAAGCTGAAAGATCCTGAGTAGAGTTCAGAGAAGGGCTGGGCAAAGTTCTGAGAGAACCGTCCTCCCTTGGCAAAGGTGAATAATACATTCCACAGATAATTCAGTGTTTTATCATATGTTAGGGGCTTGGGCTAAAACCCTTAGTGAAGTAGGACAAGGTGGTGCACACCTGTATCCCAACATTTTGGAGGCTGAGGTAGAAATGCCAGTTGGTTCAGTGCCTGGCTGGTATACAAAACAATATATTGTCTCAAAAAAAAAAAAATCCAAACTAAAACCACAGCTGGGTCTGGGGGCATATGCTTTTAGTCTCAGTATTTAGAAGGCAGAGGGAGGTGAATCTCTTGGTTTGAAGCAAGTCTGGTCACATAGCAAGTTCTAGGCCAGCCAGGGCTACAAGATTTAAGAACAAAATTTTGGGGAGTTTGAAATTAATGGCTGAGGGAACACAGAACTAGATTCAGTATAATAAGCACAATGTATGGAAAACTGCACTGCATGGTAGGGATTTCAAATATTCCTATCAAACACAGCAATATCAATAATAAAACGGTAAGACTTCTATGATGACATCAAACAGAAGACACAAAAGGGAGGATACTAATAAAGGACCAGGATATGCTCCAGTGTTGTCTCTAAGGAAAAATTCAGAGCATACGGGAATAATCAAGATGTATCATATATATATTATATAGACTGCTTCTAATATCCTAGTTGGACATTTTTATGTAGTGTCTGTAGGTTCAAAGGATAAAACATAAAAACACTGTTATTCAACTTACAACTAACAGAAAGGAATACTATTACTGAAAAATAGGCCTAATGACTGGACATCTCTAACTTGGGGGCAGCTCTTAAGAGTGTTCATCTTCTGTAAGCCACCAATCAAAGCAGAGTTCAGCACAGAGCTTAAAGACAGATCTAGGTTGTTTGATGGCTGGGTTACCCATTACAGAATTTCTTGCCTTCTCTCAGCCTCAGTTTCTGATTTGTGAGTCTGGATGAGATTAAGTGTGTTATGCTTCCAGTCACAGTGGGCACCTCCCAGCCTTGTGTGGACATAATAAGAAATAATGGTATCTTGATACTCTCTATGAAGTCTTCTGGGAACCAGGAACGCCAATGGGAGATAGAAGGTACCTCTCATTGATAATGAATGTGAAAATACTCCCTCTTTATGTGTTATAGGTTTCTCATTCTCTGTCTCCAACTCCTTAAGGTCACACAGAAAGAATAAAGACAGGCAGTAGAAGTTTGTGGCTTAGTTCTTGAGAGTACAATATTGCCATGGCAAGTTTGAATGACATATAAAATTGACAAAACTTGGAGGATTCAGTGGGCCTATGATGTTACTAGGAAACTTGAACTATTCTTCCAAGAAACATAGTATTCATGATATAGAAGCTTAATGAGTTTTGCTTTTTTCCTAAAGCTTGGCACCCAAGTGCTAACACACTAAATAGAAAATAATGACTTAGCTCCTGTCTGTCTGTGTGTATACTATCACACATGCATGGGCATATACTTTGTTTTTCTCATGTGTCGTCTTTCTTTAAGCCATGTCTGTCCTAATCAGCCACTGCAACTCCTCGGCTGCAGCTGTTTGACTCCAAAGGCCGCAGCCTGAGGGGATTCTCTTCCCTCAGGCACTGACTCTTTCAGAGCTTCCTAGGGAATTTATCTAGATCTCTGTCCCTCTAAACAACTCAAGATTCAAAGGTTAAGGGAGAATTCTGCCCCTCAGAGAGGCTGAATGGCAAGTCACTCCTCCTCTCCTTGCTCAAATCTCCCAAAAAACCCTTGTCCTTCTCCCTGCCCCCCCTTAAAAGCCCCTCTCCCCCTGGCTCTGCCCTACCACTTCCTGTCAGCTAGTTGCTGACGCAGCCTACTGACCGCAGGTGAATTTTATTTAATCAAACAAATATAACACACTTTTTTGCATCATTAAACAAATTCCAGAGCATAAACAAAAGTATCACACCTTAATATTCTACTACATTGATGTAACCCAAGCTGGTCTTGAACTTGCTCTCTAGCCGAGGATGACTTTGACTTCTGACCCTCCTTCCTCCACTGAGTACTAGGATTCAGGCATGCACCACCATGCCTGGTTTATACAGTCCGAAGGATCCAGTGCGTGATAGGCAGGCGCTCTACCAACAGATCTACATCCTCAGACCTTAGTATATTTACCATCTAAATAATATACTATCATTTGGATAGCAACTATAGCAGGACATCAGAAGCAACCTGCTTTTCTCAGGAAATAGAAGATGTGATAAAAAGAAAACGATCAGTCCAGCCTAGGTACACACATAGGTCTTGGCTAGTCACTTTAACCAAGTGTGATATTGCTTGCTTACCACAAAAAAGATGTCCACAGTTTGTTTCAACAGGAAAGGAGGCCTGATGTAAGCAGATTGGACAGTACATTTCAGTGTAGAACTGCTGTCGAGCAGGAGCAGGGACATCCTGGTGAGAGGACACAGACACGCCTCTCAGAACAGAAATTACCATGCACAGTAGTTTAAGGTCTTGCAAGACTGAGAAGCTTACAAAGTTACACTGTTTTATTTAAACTGCTTGGCCTCCACCTTCCTTCCTAAACACAATTTGAAAACAAAATATAGATTAACGCAGAGTTTGTCTTTTACTTTATTACAATGCATACGTTATTTTGAGTTCCACAAGCTCATATATAAACTAGAGAATAAGAAACACCAGGCTTCATAGCAGAATCGTCATCAAGAGACCAAAGAGATTTCATCCAGCAACTGATGGGAGCAGATGCAGAGTCCCACAGCCAAACATTAGTTGGAGCTCGGGGAGTCCTGAGGAGGAGGGGAGGATGGATAGGCTGAACCAGAGGGGTCAGGGACACCACAAGAACAAGCCCACAGAATCAATGGACCAGACTCAGTTCGCAGAGATCAGGGAAGGGGTCTGATGTAGGTCCTCTGTATAGATGTTACGGCTGAGTATCTTGGTGTTCTTGTGGGATGCCTAACAGTGGGAGCAGGGGGCTGTCTCTGACTCGTCTGCCTGCTTGTGGGACTCTTTTCTTCCTACTGGGTTGCCTCCTCCAGCCTGGTCTTACTGTAGCTTGTTATGCCATGTTAGGCCGATGTCCCGGGAGGCCTGCTCTTCTCTGAGGGGAGGTGGAGGGACAGTGGGGGACAGATCTGGGGGAAAGACTGGGGGGAGGGGCGGGACGGGAAACTACAGCCACGATGTAATATATGAGAGAATAAAAAAAAGAAAAATAAAGAAACATCAGGCTTCAGTGTAACTCAGTGGGAGAGCACCCACTTAGCATGCATGAGGCCCTCAATACCATCAAGAGGAATATCAAACGATTATTCTTAGTATTCATTAAAAAAAATATTTTTGAGACAGTGTTTTGCTACGTAGCCTTGGCAGACCTGGAATACAGCAGTTCTACCCCAGCCTCTCAACGCTGAGACTGCAGGTGTGTGTCTGCTTCATTTACTACCGCCTTCTCACTTAACAGCTGCCCTCAGATAAGTGTTGCATACCTACCTGCTCTACCTTCTACAAGCACAGAATTAAACTTCCGGTGAAGACTCGCTACTGTTAGAGGTAGAAAAAAATGAACCCTGTCGGTAACTTAACTTGGTCCTTCACAAAGTCATGATAGTAAATGTTAATATGCTTTTTGGGTGCACATGTTTGCAATCTCAACAGCAAGGATGTGGGGGCAGGAAGACGAGAAGTCCAAGTTACTCAAGCGACCCTACCTAACAAGTTCCAGCCTTGGGCGACAGGAGACCTTGTGGTCAAAACACCACAAAGCAATCAAATACAGACATATACGCATATGCCTTGGTCTCATCACTATTGTGATCAGACAGCAGTGTGAAGAGAAATGACTCGTACAAGAGCACGCATCAAAGATCATTCTGAAATATAAGTGCCAAGACCCCACTGACAGGATCGATTGCAGTCCTAAGGACCTGGAAAACTACCCAGCACCAACACAAAGTGTACAGCTTCTTCAAGGGACTGGAGAGCTGGCTCAGCAGTGAAAGGCATCAACTCTTCTTACAGTATGCATGTTCGGTTCCCAGACCCCACATGATGGCTCACAGCCATCTGTAATCAAGTTCCAGAGGATCTAACACCCTCTTCTGAATTCCATGGCAACAGGCACACACATGGTGCACATACATACATGAGGCAAAACATTTATATACATACAATAAATAGGTATTAAAATTTTTTAAATGAAACAGTTATCACAAAAAAATCAAATTTAGTAAATATAAACTTAACTACAAATTGAATTAAAGAACTTTGATACAATGTTTAGAAATTATAATTAGACTTTCATATTTCTTAAGACAGCACCAAATTACTAAAATAACCCAAGGTGATATAGTCACAGCAGTCTTAATGTTACAAAAAGAAAATATTAAAATATTTAAATATTAAACTAAAAAAAATTCTACCTTTTAAGAATGTCCTGCCCCTTTCTGAACAGAAACAAAGGAAGAGCAGATGGGGGTCAGAGTGGAGATGGGGGGGATGGGAGGAGAGAAGGGAGGGGAAACTGTGGTCAGGATGTAAAATTAAAAAAAAATTATCATTTAAAGAAAAGGAGGAATCTAACAACAAAAGCCTAATATGGTAGCGTATACCTGTAATCCCAGGATTAGGAAGCAGAGGCAAGTATGTCTCTGAGTTTGAGTCCAGCTTGGTCTACACAGCAAGTTCTAAGCTAGCCAGGAGTACGTGATTCTGTCTCAAACAAACAAACAAGCAAACAAAAGTTTCTACTTCATTTCAGTCAAGGCCAATGTTATTTCTACACAACAACAAATACAAAAATTATTCTCTTTTTAGAGCAAGTTAATAAAAATTATGCATGTATCTGTATAGATGAAGACTAGTCAATTTAATGCTGTGTTTGGTGGCACTTGGGAGGTTCTGATGGTTTGAATGAGAATGGCCCCCAATAGGCTCATGTAGAATTTGATGCTAGGTCTCTAGCTGGTGAGCTGTTTGGGAAGGATTAGGAGGCGTGGCCTTGTTGGATGAGGTATATCATTGAGGGTAGGCTTTGAGGTTTCAAAAGTCCATCACAGGCCCAGTCTCTCCCACTCGGCCTCCAATTTATGGATAAGATGTAAGCTCTCAGCTACTGCTCCTGAGTTATGTCTGCCTGCCTGCTGCCAATGCTCCCCACCATGATGATAATGAACTAATCCTCTGAAACAGAAAGCAAGCTTCTAATTAAATGCCTTTTTTTTATAAGTTGCCTTGGTCTCTTCACAATAATAGAAAAGTAACTGAGACACAGGTGGAGACAGGAAGATTAGGAGTTTAAGAGCATCCTCAACTACCGATCACATTCCAGGCCAGACAGGAATACATAAGACTGCCTTATTGTCCCTCCAATACCCACAAAAGAAAATGTCAGCTGGACAGTGGTGGTACATGCCTTTAATCCCAGCACTCAGAAGGCAGAGGCAGGTGAATTTCTGTGAGTTTGAGGTCACCTGGTCTACAGAGTGAGTTCAGGACAGCCAGGGCTACACAGAGAAACCCTGTCTGAAAAAAAAAGGCTTAATGTGAAACTATATAACCTGAAAAACAATATACTGTAATGTAAGGAGTAAAGACGTTGATAGTCCTCAGAAGTTATTTTCTAATGACTCCTCAACACTGCATATAAAAGGAAGTTATAACATCCCCTTACATAAACATACATACTACATAACCATACCTGTTCTGTTTGAAGTTGCTCTCGAAGCACCCTGATTAGTTCTTGGTTTTCTGGATGAATGTTGTGCTGTACATTTCTGTTGGATAGAATGCAGTAAATTTTGAAAAAAAACTATTAGATTAATCCATCTGCGTTATTAGTCTAATTTTTGACCACAAGCTGATGAGATGGCTTCGTGGATACAGACACTTGTTGTGCACGCCTAATGACCTGAGTTGGGTCTCCAGAACCCATGCCAAGGTGAAAACAGAGAACTAACTACAATGTTACCCTCGGACTTTCACATGTGCACCATGGCAAGTATGCTCCAAACCCATGAACAATAATTAATAATTTCAAAACTCATTTACTTTGTGTATGGCGTACATATGTGTCTGTGTATGGGTGTGTGTGCTATGGCACACATGTGTAGACCAGAGTATAACTTACAGGCGTTGCTTCTCTTTTACCGTGTGAGTTCTGGGACTGAACTCAAGTCATCAGCCATGGCAAATGTATCTGCCCACTGACCCATCATCCAGGCCCCAAAATATATTTTTTTTAATTTTAGAAAAAGAACTATATGGGGGCTGGAGAGATGGTTCAGTGGTTAAGAGCACTGGCTCCTCTGTCAGAGGTACTGAGTTCAGTTCCCAGCAACCATGGTGGCTCACAACCATCTATTATGGATCTGATGCCCTCTTCTGGCCTGCAGACATATACACAGACAGAGTACTCATATACATACAATATATAATTTTTCTTAAAAATCTTAAAAACTTAATGTAACAAGTGTAACTGATGATATACAGCCATACTCCAATTCCAGGATTGTGTATTCTAGGCTACTCTATGACAACTTCCTCCCAAATCTACTATTTAAATGATAAATGATAAAATCCAGATGCCCAGTATGTTGGGAATTTATTGCAACCTAGTAATGTATAGAACAATTAACACATTTCTTTTGTGAAGTTTCTTTAAAATAAGCAGTTAGATAGTTCTACATATTATACATCTGAACACTTTTCCATACCTAACTAGGTCTTTCTCTTGTTTTTTCACATTTAAGGAGAAGGGAAGACAGCAGAAATTAAAGTTAAATAATGCAAAAAAAAAAAAAAACGCCAAAACTAACTGTGCTGGTTGGTTTTTGTCAGCTTGACACAAATGTGGTGACATATTATGTACCTTAATAAAATTTGCCTGAAGATCAGAGAACAGAACAAGCCACTAGATTAAATATAGATGCCAGGCAGTGATGGCACACACCTTTAATCCTAGCACTTGGAAGGCAGAGATCCATCTGGATCTCTGAGAGTTCAAAGCCACCCTGGACTACATGAGATTGACTCAGTCTAGGAGAGAAACAGAGCCAGGCAGTAGTGGCACACACCTTTAATCCCAGCACTTGAGATCTCACACCTTTAATCGAAGTATTTGGGAAGCACACACGCCATTAATCCCAGTACTAGGAAGGAAGTGGTGGCTGGGTGGAGAAAGGTACATAAGGCACAAGGAGACAGGAACTGAAGGTTTTTGACTGGAGAGCTTTTGGCTGAGGACTCAGAGGCGTTCAGTCAGAGGATTCATGGAGTTGGCAAGGTGAGACAAGGCAGTGGCTTGTTCATTTGTCTCTCTGATCTCTCAGCCTGGATGGTGTAAGAAAGGCAACTAAGCAAGCCATGAGGAGCAAGCCAGTAAGCAGTACTCTTCCATGGTCTCTGTTTCATTCCTATCCTGATTTCTCTCAGTAATGGAGTGTGACCTGAGAGCTCCACAAAGAAAGAGACCCTTCCCTCCTCAACTTGCTTTTGGTCATGGTCTTTATCACAGCAAACTAAGACATGAGCATACCACTAGCATCTTAGCAAGTATAAAGGAAAATCAGAAGCAAGAAGTTGGCAGCTAATATAAAAGAATGGGATCAGGCCAGGAGAGCACTGCTATCAGTAATGAGGTGGGTTTTTTGTCTTTGGTTTGGTTTGGTTCACTTTTTCTAACTATTTTGCAAGGATTATCCATACCACTGGCTAGATGGATTCAATTATTAACATTTTTTTAAATTCTTATTTTTATTTTTTTGGTTCTTCGAGACAGGGTTTCTCTGTGTAGTTTTGGTCCCTGTCCTGGATTTCACTCTGTAGCCCAGGCTGGTCTCGAACTCACAGAGATCCGCCTGGCTCTGCCTCCTGAATGCTGGGATTAAAGGTGTGCGCCACCGCCGCCTGGCTAGTTTAAAAAAAAAAAAAAAAAACAACCTCCCTCCTTCAATAAACGGCATTGGGAGGGGGGAGAAAGGCCAGGTGGTGGTGGCGCATGCCTTTAATCCCAGCACTTGGGAGGCTGAGGCAGGCGGATCTCTGTGAGTTCAAGGCCAGCCTGGTCTCCAAAGCAAGTTCTAGGAAAGGCGCAAAGCTACACAGAGAAACCCTGCCTCAAAAAAAAAAAAACCAAAACAAAAAAAATTTTTTTTAAACCAGGATACACTCATAGGAAATATTAATATTTTAATCAAAATGGAAACTATGAATTTAAATATTCCCAGGTAAGTAAGGAAAAAATATGGTAGCATTCAAAGCTTAATAGAAAATAAAATGCTTTAGAACAGATATGGAGTCACTGAGACCAGCTATTACTAGGAAGAATCAAAGAGTCATTGACCTTTAGGAAGACACAGTCCTCAAATCACTTCTTTTCCTCTCACCTGAAAAGCGCGTACAGGAGAGTAGCAATCAAAGCAAAGCTGACCACCACCGCCACAAGCACTTGGTCACTTACTCCTTCTATAACTGAATCATCTTGTTGCAAACTTGGAACTTCACTGTAGTGTTTGGCCATTACAGGTCTAAAATATATCAAAAATGAAATATATCAATGAAAGCAATAGAAGTACGGCTTACTTCTAACATCTCTAATAATTACAGCATGCTCTTTCAATGAAGGTATCATTAATTATAACTTCAGTTAAGATTCCCCTACTAATGATTTTTTTTAATTTGCCAGAATCATTTGGCTAAGATGAAATGCTATTTTCTTTAAGGAATCTACTTTTTATCACCCATATATGTATTTTTAAAGATTTTAAAAATCCTTAAGAGCTGGAGAAGTAGCTCAGTTGGTAGACTACTTGCCTACCATACACAAAGTTCTGGGTTGGATCTCCAGGACTTTATAAAATGGAGTGTAATAGTACATGGAGACCAAGGCAGGAGGATCACTGCAGGTTCAAAGCCAGTTTGGGTTACATGATGAGTTCCAGGCTAGCCTGGGCTACAAAGTAAAACCTCAGTCTCAAAGGTGGAAAAAAAAAAATTGCAACAAAACCAAAAATAAATTGGGACATTTTCTCGGTTTAGGTTTAGTTCCTTTAAGGAAAGACATTCTCCTACCCTTGCTCTTTTCTAAGTCTTGATTATCAAATAAAGTCTCCAGGTAGACCTAATCGCCCTGTCTTAGCCCGTAAGGAGGAAACAGAGTCCTCTACAGTCCTGTTACCCAGCACATGCTGTGCACACAGAACTTAGTAAAACGGACTCCCCAAGCTTTTCTGCAGTCAAGGGGGAGGACATCAAACCCCTTCCCAAAGTCTAGGGAAAAATGACAGCGCCCGATACTACAAGGATGATGGGAGACAGCCCAACTACACTGTAGGTCAGTCACGGGTAATTCTCCCCAGGGCCCCAGTGAACAAAACTGTAATGTCCAAACTTCTATGACAACTAAAGAGGAATGATGGGGATAGTCAATTAAGTATGTAACAGTATAAACAAAGTTCTGCATTTATATAAAATAGTGTGCTTAAAAGGTTGGTCCAGGGCTCAGGATGGAGTGCTTGCCTAGCATTCATGAACCCATTTCAATCTCTACCACAAAATAAACCGGCCCTCACCTGAAATCCCAGCACTTAGGGAGGATCCCCAGCTCAGAGATGGGAGGATCAAGAAGTTCAAGATCTCATATGTGGCAACAGCAAAACACAACCGATGCTAGCTTAGGGTACATAAGCCCGTCTCAAAAAAAAGTTTTATCCAAAATCATTAATCTGGTGACTCTGTCTTAAGAAGAAAATACTAAATCTCTCTTAAAAAGAAAATTCTAAGTGTGAAAAACCAATATCCTTGAAATGGATCTGAATTAGCTGCTAATTACCTCCTGCGGAAGAAACCTGAGTAAAGAAATGCATCAAGGGTGGGTTTCCTCAACTTTACACTCATATACCAGGAGCTTTTTAAAGACAAGTTTCAAATTCCCATTGTGAAGCTACATACAAGGAAATGAGAGAGAGAGAGAGAGAGAGAGAGAGAGAGAGAGAGAGAGAGAGAGAGCGCGAGAGAGCACGCGCACTCTACTTTTAGTATTTTCACTTGAAAACAGCCAAATGAACTACTCCTGGCTGAGGCTGGGGGAAGCAGGCATTTGAGATACTCTAAGGACAGGTCAGGTCACCAGTTAAGACTTGTTCTTTCCTAGGTATTCTCTCTTTAAATCAGAAGTGCCCTGGCTAGGATTAAAGTCAGAGCTGGGAATGTAGTTTAGGTGGTAGAGTGCATCTCTGCATGCATAAAGTCAGGGCTGGGAATGTAGTTTAGGTGGTAGAGTGCATCTCTGCATGCATAAAGCTCTGGGCTCCATTACTAACACCACATAAACATACCGAGGAGGTACAGACAGGAGGTTCAGAAGTTCAAGGTTATCCTTAGCTGTGTAGGAAATTGGAGGCCAGCTTGGGCTACGTGAGACCTGTCTCAAAAAAATATGTATTTGTAGGTCGGTTGTGGTGGCACATGCCTTTAACCCCAGCACTAAGGAGGTAGAGGCAGGTGGAACTCTGTGACTTGGGGGCCAGTGGGTCTAAATAGTGAGCGCCAGAACATCCATGGCTATGTAGAGAAACCCTGTTTAAAAAAAAAAAATCAGAGAAAGCAGTGCTTTGCAAGCCAAGCACATCAGTTGAGGCATTACAGTTGTTATCATTATTCACATCTCTCCTATGTTATACCTTAAGCAATCCATTTTGAGAAAATTGGTTAACTGAAGCCACTGGGTAGACCCATTAACAGCACCATCTGTCAGGCCCCACCCAGCACAGACTAATAAATGAATTATCCCTGGAAATAGAAAGGGAGACATACTATTACTGAATTTGGAATAAATTTAAAGTGTAAGGGCACATTAAAAACATATCAGGGAAACCAGGAACAAGAACTTATCCAACATGGCAGATTACAGAAAATGTAACTCTCTCACCTGGACCCAATAAAGTAATAGACCTTGGTTAAGGTTTCTATTGCCGAGACGAAACACCATGACCAAAAGCGATTGGGGAGGAAAGGGTTTATTTGGTTTAGACTTCAACACGGCTGTTCATCACTGAATGAAGTCAGGATGGGGACTTGAACAGGGAAGGATCCTGGGAGCAGGAGCTGATGCAGAGGCCATGGAGAGGAAGCTGCTTATTGGCTTGTTTTCCGTGGCTTGCTCAACCTGCTTTCTTATAGAATTCAGGACCAGCAGCCCAGGGATGGAACCACTCACTATGGGCTGGGCCCTCCCACCACTGATCACTAAACGAGAAAATTCTTTACAGCTGGATCTCACTGAGACATTTCCTTAGCTGAACCTCCTTCCTCTGATGACTCTAGCTTTCGTCAAGTTGACACACACAATCAGCCAGTACCTCTAACACTAGGATGACAGGGCCCTACAACCACCTATGGTCTAATAATTGATGTACACATCCAAGAGCAACAAGCAGGGGACTCCCTAATGCCCTGGAGTTCCGGCTTGGCTTGGTCCGTTATCGACACAGAATACACAGCCTGCTCCCCCACCTGAACGTAGGCAGGAACCCCCATTTCCTGAGCACCCAGTCTGGCTTTTCACCTTGCAGCTGGACTCCAGCCTCACTCTGAAAGCCTGACTCCCTCCTGGCACTGGTCTGGTTCATGACCTATCGATGCAGCTTCTCTCAGCCCTTTTCTGAAATCTTCAGAGCCCTGCTGCAGACTCTTTAACTGTAAACCATACAGAGACATATAGATATAGTTACTTGTGCCTTGTGAGCTGTGATATGAGTTAAGGCTACTAGTGAGGACTGGAAGAAAGATCCCACTTTTGCCGCAGCCAGATTACCAAAGCAGGTGGGACTATATGGCAAGCTGATGTCACCGAACCTTGTGTATCTATTGTCATTCGAGAGTTTAATTGTGGAAAGACACGAACACATTCATCTGACATGGGTGCTCACAACCAAATCCAAAATTTGTCGTATGGAATGACAACGCCTTCCCCTGAGCTCGTAGACTGCTGTGGTTGAGAACTAGCCTGCACCTGAGTAAGGCCTACAAAGACAGCTCAGAGAAGTCTCCACACACCTGTCTTGAGTCTTTTCCTAACACTGCTGGAGAAAAGGGTTAGGGTGATGGGCCAAAGGAGGAGAAAAAAAAAAAAAAAAAACAGGAAAAGGAAGAAATTCTAGAATTTCCCATAACAAAGGAAATTTGGTCATTCCCCAACCCCCAGGTTCATGTAGTAACTTGATGGTCATGTGGCTTCTGCAGTTACTTTCAAGCTTTTAATGTAAATTCTGTCCTGAAAAGTAATTCGAAGCACAAAGTAAACACCAGTAATGATACATCAGGCATGAAAGCACCTTGGACTCAAAGACTTGAAAAGACACACTTTAAATCAATTGTATCAAAGCCCTGACCGCCTGAGCAGCCGGAGAAAAGGTGGTTTCTATAGATACCACCGTCCCTTCAGCAAGGCTGACACCTATGGTCTTTATCCATTGGTAACATGTGGTTACTTTATAAATCCCACAGTCCCTTCGGCAAGGCCCAAGTCAATGTAACATATACTTACTATTTACTTACCCAACAAGATTTAGTCAATGAAAGGTGTCACAGGTTCTACAGAAACAGTTTAGTATGGAATGTGGGAACACTAGTCTGACAAAGATCCAGGGGCACCCACATAGAAGTGACAGGCAGGGGAGAGTCAGTTAGGATTTCTAAAGGTATTTCTGCTCCTGTGCGAAGAATGTGTGCAAGAAAAACCTTTGAGAAGGCTTCAGCTAAGATTTACTATTTATTTATTTGTTTGTTTGTTTGGTTTTGGTACCAAGGATTGAACTCAAGCCCTGATGTTTGCTTGGGTAATGAACTAGCACTACATCCTCAGCCCAAGATTTTTTCCCATCTATAAAATGATCGATTACATGTGATCATTAAGCAGTAGTCACTAAAAGTTACCATTAAGAAACTCAATGCTGTTCTAAGCGCTCAGTGAGAAAACCCACTTCTAATGGGGAAGGGGGAGGCTCCAGGAACTGCAAAACAAAGTGAAGGTGTGTCCTGGGAAGCTAACTTCTGAAGCACTCAAATCAAAATTTACATGACCTGGTAGTTGGGCATACCTTTTGAATGCACAATTCTCCTACGACTCCAAAGCATGTATCTTGTGTCTTGGGGTCTTGAAAACGCCAATGCCTTTGCATCAAGGTCCAGGTAGAAGACTGTTTATTATAGCATTGTTCTGAGACGCCCTAAACTGGAATGAAGTGCACATCAACAGGATATAAGGATATAAGGCTGTCGTCACACAATGGAATACTAGACAATCGTGGGAATTTGCAGGTAATTTAATATCATTCAAAAGTCAAAACCCACAACATGGGTCCATTCATAAAAGTTCAAGCTCCGACAAAGGAAAACTCTACTACATGCATGCTCATCTGGGAAAGCAATGAAGTGCCTGTCACAAAAATCAGACTAGAAATGGTATGGGCGGAGGAACTCTTGAGAACCTGGCAATTCATTTTATTAATATCCCTCAAACACGGACGTCCTATGCACTCTCCTGCACGCCACATTAAAAACGTCTATGAAACCCTACAACGCCTGTCTAAAAAAACAAACAAACGAAAGCTGGACAAGGATGCACCTCAATGGAGCCAATTCCCAACACGACGAGAAACAGGCCTTAGGGACAGTCCGGGGGGGGGGGGGTGGTCCTTACGCACTGGTGAACTGGCGTCCACCCTCTCTCACTTCGAGGAAAGTTTTGCGGGAGAGGGGGCTCCAAAGGAGGCACGGCTGGCTGGCTCTCCTCAGCCGGGCCAAACCCGCCCCCACAGCCACCGAGACGCGCCCACGTCAGCCGCTCCACCTTCGCCCTGTG